CCTAATAAAAATCATGCTGCATCCTAATAATAGTATTCTCTTTTTTGGTTTATTCCAGCCTTTCTTCACACTTCCCTCCCTAACATCCATTTATTAGCTGATTTATTAGATGATTATAAATGTACCCACATTGAAAAGGCCAGGACATATCCTGTGCGTAATTTCTCCTTCCCAGCAGCTGGAACTAAAATCAGCATCTTGCATGGCTTATGTCATCATAAAAATGCCTTTGCACTGGGAAGTGGTTTTGCTTCAGGACTCAGTTAAGAAATACATATGCAGAGTGTTGTTATTAGGGCTAAAATATGCCTATATTTGACATAGATATATTTTTATATTCAAATAAATATGCCCACTTTCATCCCCACTTCATACCCGTGTTTTCACTGTACACCAAGAGCTGGCTGAAACTTGCACACTGTGTTTGAAACATATTCCAGCCATGTCTTTTGGACGCATGAAAGTCCTGCCTCAAGAGGTCCTATAGGTGCATCAGTAATTGGATCCACAATTTTCAGACGAGTTAAGGGTACACCAACACTTCAACTCAGAGACATGAATCATCCTGTCTAGAGGTGTCTCAGATAACTGAGTTACTCAGTTTGAGTCATGCTCTCAGCTAAGCCACAAGAGCGCAGTGCTGAGTCTTGTGTTATCCCTATGAATATTTATTTTATGCTCCCAGCTTTGGGGCCATTCCAGCAACAGAGTTCAATGGGTCCACATTAGCAGCAGTCATGATTTTTGGCTTGAAGTCTAGTCAGATCAAGGCATGAATATTATTTTTTAAGTACTTAGAAATACTGTTCTTCAAACAGAAAGTGCTACTCAATGCCTCTTTGTTGGCAGTTACCCCTTTTTATTGCATTCTCCTTCTGGCTCATCCACCCAGGTTGGAACACAGTGTCCTGGTTGGATCCACAGCATCTCGAGCAACCTGGTCCAGTGTGCAGGTGACCCTGCCCATGGAAGGGTTAGTGGAACTAGATGATCTTGATGTCCTTTCCAACCCTAACCATTCTATGATTCTATGTGTTTTGAATGCTTCTGTACAAGTATTAAAAAACCATAGAGATGAGGCTCTTAATGACAAGGTTTAGTGGTGAACTTGGCGGTGCTAGGGCAATGATTGGACTTGATGATCCAACCTTGGTGATTCTGTAATTCTATCTGGATGCCACTATGTGTAGAAGTACTAAAGCAAAGCATGTGGCTGTAACCCTGAAAATCATGAGTCAAAAGAAGCAGTCAGGGTGTCAGCAGTATCAACACGAGTATGTATCTCCCTTTGCCCCTTCAGGAGGGCAGAATGGTTGGAAGAGGGACACATCTCCAAGAATTACGTGATTCATTGTAGGCATCTGTGATCACTGTCCTCACCTGCTGCCAGACAAAGTGAAACCAGGTGTGGTTTGGGGAGGAGGAACAGGCCATGTTTCTCATTTATGTGAATCCTCTGCCATAAACTGTCAGTGACTTCAAAGGGTGTTTCCACAGTCATTGCCAGGAAACCAAGCTGAGCGAAACCCCAAGGTGGCCCTGGAAGAGGCTTCCTCTTCTTTATTTCCATGGGTCATCTGTCCAGCATTGCACTGCAGTATTGCTAACAGTGACCAAATGCTGATGGGCAAACAAATAAAATAAGGAGTGGTTTGCTGATGGCACCAAGCTGTGTGGTTCGGTTGATCCGCTGGAGGGAAGGAATGGGATCCAGAGGAACCTTGACACGTTTGTGAGGTGGGCTGATGCCAACCTCATGGAGTTTAACCATGCCAAGGGCAAGGTCCTGCACCTGGGTGGGAGCAGTCCCAGGCACAGCTACAGGCTGGACAGAGAAGAGACTCAGAGCAGCCCAAGGAGAAGGACTTGGGGGTGCTGGTCGATGAGAAAATGAACATGAGCCGGGTTCAGTGTGCACTTGCAGCCCAGAAACCAACCGTATCCTGGGCTGCATCAAAAGGAGTGTGACCAGCAGGTTGAAGGAGGTGATCCTGCCCCTTTATTCTGCTCTCATGAGACCTCACTTGGAGCATTGTGTGCAGTTCTGGTGTCCTCAACATAAAAAGGACATGGAACTGTTGGAACAAGTCCAGAGGAGGGCCACAAGAATGATCAGGGGCTGGAGCAGCTCCTGTATGGAGACAGGCTGAGAAAGTTGGGGCTGTTCAGCCTGGAGAAGAGAAGGCTGCGGGGAGACCTCATAGCAGCCTTCCAGTATCTGAAGGGGGCATATAGGGATGCTGGGGTTGGACTCTTCATTAGGGACTGTAGTGGTAGGACAAGGAGTAATGGGTTAAAACTTAAACAGGGGAAGTTTAGATTGGATATAATGAGGAAATTCTTTCCTGTTAGGGTGGTGAGGCACTGGAATGGGTGCCCAGGGAGGTTGTGAATGCTTCATCCCTGGCAGTGTTCAAGGCCAGGTTGGACGAGGCTTTGGGTAATATGGTTTAGAGCGAGGTGTCCCTGCCCATGGCAGGGGGGTTGGAACTTGATGATCTCAAGGTCCTTTCCAACCCTAACTATTCTATGATTCTATGATTCTATAAAATTAACATTTTAGAACAGAAGTTTTGAGGTTACTCGAAACCAGGCATTCAACTTTAAATTCTGCAGAGGGGCTGGATTTTAGAGGGGAAGAACTCATCTTCAGGAGGTTAAAAAGTGTTTGCAACTTGCGTCAACTTGGCTGTACAGAATGGTGAGACTGGAAATAGTTTTATCAGTAAATAACTGAAGAACTGAAGAGAGGGTGCTGGATCTGAGGAATAAATCTGCTGAAGTAAGCAGCTAATCTCCTGCATCAGCTGAAGCTGCACTTTCAGATTTCAGCCCAAGGTTTTTCTAGGGTGATGCATGGCTTCATTCCCTGACCAGTTTCATCCCAAACCATGAAACATTCATCACTCAGGTGCCCTGAGGACTTTAGCAATGGTCCCATGGGGTCCCTGACAATGAAAGATGGACATGAATTTCTCATTCTCCTGTTCACTATGCCAGGGTTGGATAAAAGCAAATCCCTGCTTATGGGTTACTCCAACTGTACTGTTAAAGCTTGAAGTGGGACATGTGCTTTGTGCCTATTTCTTGGCCAGGAGGATGGGAATAAATGCTTCCCATTTCCAAATTCAGTAGGAAGGTGTCTGTGGAGTGTAATGTGTCTCGTGTCAGAGTCATAGGAATTAATGTGCGTGGGTATGATAGGATAAGTTGCATAATGCCCCCTCACTGCAGTGTGACTTGGAAAAGTGGGGTAGTATCTCAGGTATGTCAGCATATTTTGTTTATGGATAAACTTCTGAGCAATCTTTGCTCCATGAAGCAATCACAGAAATAGGAAAAAGTAATAAAAGAAACAAAATTGCTCTGCCAGTGTAATGACAAGAACGCAATAGTAATCACCATCACCATCACTGAGCAAAATAATTGCGTTATCTGGGGCAGTTACAGGTGGGGTGAATTTTTGTTTGATAATGCATTAGGACATCATCTATGAAGAATGTTTCATATCCTCCTGATTGCCTAAGAAAAGGAATAAAAGCGCTCCCTGTTCTGGGCTGCTCCAACCATTTCTCTTGCCTCGCTCTGCTGCAAAGAGGTAAGTCTGAGCCTGACTCTATTGCAATGCTGCTGTGACAATGCAGGACTTTAACTGAAAACAAACTGATTCTTAGAAATATGTGAAATGTTTGAAGCTTTCTTGCAGAATGAACTGTTTCTTATTTATTCAGTGGCAGGCTGTAAAAAGGCAGAAGCTTTCAGAGCAGTTGACAGTTTGGGATATGCAAACTTCTTTATAGTGAGATTTAGTGAATTCCTAATTCCTGACCATCCTGCCTTTATGACTTTGTTCAACTTGACTTGTAATGGTGACTGCCAAGAAAAGGTAACTCAGAGTCTCAGACTGAGCTAAGAAGCCAGCATTAGCAATAATGTTTTATCCTGTTCTTTGCAATTATTTCTCAATGAATTTGAAGCCTGTTATATGTTACATTATACACTTGTTATGGTCAAGACTTTATTCCTTTTCTTTATTCCCAGCCTTTCATTTTAGTAGGGTGAGATAGAGATCAAGAGGAGCTGCAAATTGGTTTTACAAGTGATCAAATGATCTTATGGTTAAAGAAAAGGACTCCCCAAAATTACACACGGCTCCTAGTTTTACCACAGCCATCTTTCACCTCAGTCATCTTTAGCAGGACAACTGGGACCACATTCGCAGGAGTCCTGGTTATACTGGAAAGCTCACTGATACTGCATTCCTACCCAAACATGGGATATTCTGCCAAGCCAATTCTCTTTATGAGCAATTCAGGCATGTGGCTGCTGCTCATTTTATCTGTGCAAAGAACATGCAGGATAGCCCTGATGCCAGCTGTAGCATCTGAAAGGTTGGGGAATAGCACTGTCATTAACAACCAGGCTTGCCTGAATTTTAACTCAGTCTCTCCAGTTACTTCACCAAATGGCCCCGGGCAATGCATTCACTTCTCAGCCTCAGTTACCTTTTCCTTAAAGCTGGAATAACAACGGCTTGCTGCATACAGTTGTAGTGATTACAGGAGATGCAGAACCAGCACAGGATGCTACTATAGAAGTGCTAGCCAATGTTTCTGTTCTTTTCTGCATCTGTTTGTAAAATAAATAGTCAATGTCACAAGAAGTCAGATTCAAAAGGGAACGGTGGAAAGGAGAAATGGTAAAGAACAGGGGATAGCTCAAGATCAAACATGTAATTTCTTCGTTTGATAATGATATTTTTATACATTAACTTGGCTCCATAATGAGGAGTCAAAAGAAATAAGAATTGCTCTAGGGGAAAGGAGGAGAGCATGAGAAGATGAGAAAAGGGATATGGTTGCTAAGACAAAAGTGAATTCTTCAGCCTCCTTCTGGTCTTTTTGCTGTCTTGTAGTCTTTCTCTTCCAAAGACAGTCTCCATTCGACTGATACCTGAGCTCTCAGCCTTGTGTTGCCTTGGTGTTGTGTGTTTCAGATTTGTCTCCACTCCCTGAAGATGTCTTCCTACAGACAGATGATCAGCTCCCGCTGCCTTGCACCCTGCGAAGTGACCTGCCCACAGCCAATTGCAAATGCCTGGAGCCAGCCCTGTGTCACCTCTTGTGGTGATTCGAGAGCTGTGATCTACCCACCCCCTGTGGTCATGACGTTCCCAGGACCCATTCTTAGCTCCTGCCCCCAGGAGAGCATAGTGGGCAGCTCAGCACCATCCAGCACTGGGAGCTTCTTTGGATCAATAAGCTCTCTGGGTAACAGCAGCTCCTATGGCTCTAGGAGCTTATACAATTATGGGAGGTCATATTTTCCCTATGGATCCAGTGGTTATGGTTTTGGAAGCTGCAGACCATGTTAAATGTGTAATGAAGAAGAAGCAATCACCCAACACAGTGGAAGATGTGCCTGCACAACTCCTGTTACTGGCACTGCTTTCCTGGAGCATGAACTGTGCATTGCTAAAAATCAATCTTACATGTTATTCTCAAGCTTATGATTTAATTTCATTTATGACTATTCTGTCCTGATAATAATGGCCTCAAATTAGTTATATCAATGATCTTTGGCTGATTGAAAGTGGGATGAGATTGTGCAAGTCTTTCTATGCTATGAAAAAGAAAGAGTAATGTATGTGGAATGCATAGCCCTGGAGCTATTCTTTACTTGCAGCCTTTAATGAGACCCTGGCAATACTTTTCCTGTGTTTTTTATCCTGTGTTTTTTATTCTTAGTAAGATGTTTGCTTCTTACATTCTCATTAAATTATTGTGCATCAAAATTCTGAGCTTTCTTGTTATTGTGTTGTGTTGTCCGTCCGTCCATCCCCCCACCCTCCGGCCCAATTTCCTGTTTACATACCATTCTGGGTGAGCATCACTCTCTATAGTGAAACACCAGTGTCTGATTTCTTTCAGTGCCTAAAGTTGGAAGGTAACCAAGCCCTTTAAGCAGGAATGAGCGTAATAACTGCCTTCACAAAAATAATTTCATGCTGGATAAACATGTTTTGTAACCCTTACAACTAAGTTTGAAAATTCCTCCTGGGCAGGTGTGGTTACAGTGTGTATCTCCTACATGCTAGCAAAGAAAGTTACACACACGAGCAACTTTGAAGATCCATGTGTCTCACTACTTGCCTGAGGCTCCAGTTTAATTATGTTCCCATACATTGGTTTTAAGATCGTTTTTATTGTTTAAAAATAGGATGTAACAATTCATGGATAAAACTTTCCTTTGAATAGCCATTGGGAATTTTTAACTGAATGGCAAATCTTTGCTGAAATTCTGTGAGTTCTTTGAACTTTCCCACTAATACCTTTAAATACTTGGTCAACCCCAGTTAAAATAAGGAAAAGGTTTATTCTTAAACCTTCGCTGCAGAACAACACATACCATTCAGGCCAAAAAATATTTTCCATCTCAGGAACTTTACATATAAATTTCGGGCTTCTCACAGGTGACTGTGGAATCATAGAAACATAGAATCATAGACTGGTTTGGAAAGGACCTTAAAATCATCCAGTTCAAACCCCCCTGCCATGGTCAGGGACACCTCACACTAGATCATGATGCCCAAGGCTCTGTTCAACATAACTTTGAGCACTGCCAGGGATAGACAGATAGACAACTTCCTTGGTCAACCAATTCCTTGCTCCGTTGCCTCACCAGGATGGACCATACATCAGACATTACTCAGCACTTCTGCTTTTCCCTGTGTAAAGCTGCTCTTCCTAGGAGTAAGTACCAGCAATGCACTGACAAACTTCACAAGGCTTGAGCAGGCTAATTCCAGGCAAACCGTGCCTCACACCGCAGAAATCTGTTTGGACAGGATCAAGAATGTGGCAATAACTTCAAAGGGTTTGAAGGTGTGACTTCACTTGTAAAACGAGCTGAAATGATATGAGGCAGCCAGGCCACACCTCTTTCTTGTTAGGATGTGTCTGAAGGCTTTGCCTTGTTTTCATGCTTACTGTCTCTAATGCACTGCATGATTATTCTTGGAGTCACAAGGATGCTGTAAAAAAAAAGTACTTATTTGTACCAGTATGTGGAGCACTAAAGCTACCAGTTCAGGTATTTTCAAGACACATCACCATGGTGTTGATCACTGCAGAAGTCCTTGTTTCAGGACTTTAGTTTTCATCCCACACAGTAGAATTACATTGATCCTTTTCTCAGCCCATCTTGCTGAGAATGTGCTCTGGACTTGCATTAGCAGCTGGTTTCTCATGCTGGGGTGAAAAGGTGCAGTCAAAACATCCTTCCATGTGGATGTTGTCTGCATACCTGGATGAAGCTCCTCTGCCTATGTACTGGTTATACAACAGAAAAGGCAGATGTGGGAGCTGAAGGTTAGAGTCCAGACTAAAAATAGATCACCATAACATGTATTGATTGACTGATGGACATTACTGACTTTGAATGGTTGAAGACATAGCAATTCACACCACCATTATTCACCAGTCTGAATTTGCATGTTAAGACAACAGAGCAGAGAAAATACCTAAGAACAGCTCTTTAACTGCCTTCCACTGTACAGGTCCTGACAACCAGCAATCTGCTACTTCCCAAGTGCACATCAGGCTGAACTTGGATTACACTTTCATCTAAGTGAAATACAGATGAGCACAGCAGAAGATAAGTGATTTCACTGTCAGTACCAAAGCGTCTCAACTCACACTACATGGAGGATGGGACGAATGCCAGCTGCTGTTTATCATCATGATCTGGAAGAAGTCTTGAGATCTTGGCAGTTTGCTGGCCACTGCAACATGGGGATCATATCTGGCTGTGAGGTTTCCTGAAATTCTTGATCAGCCATGTGAAGTCCAGGCTGTTGATAGCACCAGCAACTCTTGTTCCTCCTGCAAGTGAAACAAGTAATTGCCAAGAACAGGAAGCAACAATACATGAAATCACACTGTCTGGTCTTGAACTATAGAGGTCAGTACACTCTCTCTTCTCTTGTCTAAGTGTGCTCTGAACATGTGCTTGTATCTTAGTACAAGGTAACACTATTGTTAAATGAGATGCAATCAGAAGTTGCTTCATAAAGATGATGTAAACACAGCCTGAAGTATATGTCCTCCCCACGCACCAAATTACATTTTAACACAGATATCTGTTGGAACTAAGCCTTTCATGTTTGATTTAAATAGGTGGATTCACTAAATATTAAATCATTACTAGAGCCTAATGGTTTCTTATGTGGTTCAGACTGACACCACTGGTAAATAGCCTGCAGGCACAATGGCTCAATGTAACAGATTAATAAATATTCCAGAAATAAGCTGAATGACAGCTGCCTTCCAGGGTTCGATTCTGGAGGAATTAGTAAAGTGACTACTTGCAGTCAACCTTTTATCAGTTTTGCAGTTGGAGGATCTGAACTTGAATGTTTTGGATGTTTTAAATAAAATGCTCTGTCCAACAAACTTAAAGAAATTGATCTATTTTTTTTTCAGTTTATTGTCCCCTTTTACTTAGAAAACAAATTATATAAGCCCCATGTCTTGAAGATCAGTGCTTGTTGGAAGTTTTCAAGGCCAGTTTAGATCTGACTTTGAGCAACCTGCTCTAGTGAAAAGATATCCCTATTCATGGCAAAAGAGTTGGACTAGGTGATCTATAAAGGTCCTTTCCAGTCCAAACTCTTCCTTGATTCCATGATTCTATGATCTATTAAATGTCATATGTCCTGTAATTTACTGGCCGTGCCGTGCACCATTTTTCAGCTAAAATAAGCAGAACTCCTTGAAAACATGAACAAGAATGAAAAGCAAACCTGAAGCTAACCAGTGGAATAGAAAACTGGAAACAGGGACCGTATGATTGTTAGATGAGGATTACTGGAGAGAGGAATTCAGTTCTAGGCTTTGCCAAGTGATTTCTTTGTCACCTGACGATAATATTTACTAATGTTTTTATTAGTATAGGAAACACAGACTTCGATCTCTGTATAAAAGATGCTAACGATGCTTAGTTTTTGTTTGCCTATTTACTCTGAAAACACTTGAGGGCTGTGACTACCTTTATTCTTTGTTTACACAGCACTCAACGCCTCATTTGCAGCTTCATTACAATTTGAATTGGCTGTATCACCAGAAGCTTAAAGCACTGAGTCTCTGCTGCTCCTGGCATTTAATGTACTACAATTATTTCTTACAGGAAACAGGGATTATTCCTCTTTTTTACTTGGGTGAAAACACTGCTTGGGATGTCTGGAAAACTGAGCAGTGTCAATGTTATAGATCAAGCATTGTGAATTTATAGGTGTAAATTTACATTTGGAAAGTGCTTTGCTGAGCACCACCTTGGTGGCATTTGGTTAATCTGAGTTTAACATAGAAACCCACAATTAGCGTAGAATCATAGAGTCACAGAATGGTTTGGGTTGGAACGGACCCTAAAGCTCACCCAGTTCCAACCTCCTGTCACTAGACCAGGTTGCTTCAACCTGGCCTTGAACACTGCCAGGGATGGGGCAGCCACAGATTCTATGGGCAGCCAGTGCCAGGGTTTCACCACCATCCAATCCCCTGCATGTTCCTGGGAAGACCCTCCTGAAATAATGTTTAAATACCATTAAAGGAGTTAAGATACTTTGTTATTTTAAACTTTACACATCTTCAAAAGATGGAAAGATCCTGCTCAGGTGTGTCATTATGGAAACATTTGTGATACTGTGTAAGTTCAGTCTGTGCTAGAATGCTCAGTTAGCAGCTTGGTCCTGCCCATGGGAAGATGTTACCTAGGACATGCTGCAGTAAATGGAGAAAAGGAAACCAGAAGGCTGCCATGTGATGCAACACAATTTTAATGAGCAAGAAATGCCTAGATTTGCAAAGCAAGATACCACAGAATATGAAAAATCTGTTTCCAGACTATTTCAGAGAATGTTCAACAAATGTCCTGTTCAGAGATACTGCTTTTCTCAGCTGGCTTTCTTCGATCTGTTGTGCAGCTACTGATGAAGATACACATCATTGTGAGTGATGTCCATATAGAATAGGCTGCCCCATGATGGTTAAAAAAGATGGGAAAGCTGGAACAGGCAACAATAGCAAACAACTAGAAACGGAAGGCTAAACAAAATGTAGAAGAAAGATCAGAAATGCAAAGTGGCAGTAGCTCCATTGCAGGGCTGCAGAAATGCTGAACCCCCATCCTCATTGCTCTGCATCTGGGTCTTCATGTCTCTCTTCTGAGACCTTTCTGCTGCCTTTAGCAGGGTCCACAGCTGTTGCGGAGGAAGCGGCTGTACCGGCGGGAGGAGAATGGGCTGCAGAAGCCGCTGCTGAGCGTGGAGAGGGCAGAACTCCCACATCCATACTGGGCTCCATATCCAAGAGAGCCCCCATAAAGGCTTCCAGCACCGTAGAGGCCTCCCAGCCCCAGGTTGTTCCCAAAGGCAGGTGCTCCTGAGGAGCCCACCACGGCTTGCTGGGGGAAGGAGCTGAGGATGGGGCCGGGGAAGGTGACGACAACAGGGGGTGGCTGGATCACAGCAGTGGAGTCAGGGCACTGACGGACACAGGGCTCATTGCAGCTGTTAGCGATGGGCTGGGGGCAGGCAATGTTGCTGCTGGTGGGGCACAAATCGTAGCAAGACATTTTTCTGCAAGGATGAAGGTGATCCTGAAACACAGAACACAGAGCTAAGTCAAAACAAAGCACAGGATCTACTGGAACAAGAGGTCAAGTGCTCAGTTGTTGAACAGGCAAAATGATCATCAGATGCATAGGAAAAACTGATGCCTGTTCACAAGCTTCCCAATAAACTTCACTCTTATTTTCCCCATCCAGTAATCCCAGCACTTGTCAGATCTGCCAAGCCTTCTGAAACTGCTGCTTCTTCTCTTTTCTTAAATGATGCTTCCTCCCAGAGGAAAAGAATGTTGGCAGCACAGTTTTTACTAAAACACCACCACTTCTCCCTGGTGAATACGGGTTGAAAGCCAGGAGCTGCAGCAGCTACAAACAGAGCTCCGCTTTGCACTGAATGGGACAGAAGCCGGTTTTATCTTTGGAGAGAAGGGGTGCACTTAAAAACTCAGCGCTGCTTTAACCATATATTTCCTTCTTCTTTCAAGGTCCCTGTTTCTTATCAAGCTCTTAGGGGTAATATATTTTTCAGTTGTTCTCCTTTAGGTCTCAGTTCTCTCAATATTTATGATCCCTCTGGTAAAATCCCCAAAGCATTTGAGCCTTATGATAGATTCATAGGCTTGATTAAATAAGCAAGTGTACCCTATAAAATATTTCTATCCAAATATTTCTTGGCATAGCTGTGTAATTTCATAGAGAGTGTGAAACAGGTTGGTACAATGTAAGAAGATTATTTCTTTCATCAGATAAAAACACAGTTTGCAAACTACCATTTCAGCTAAATATCTGATCACAAAAGGTTGTGACTTAGCACTTTTTTAAGTAAAAAAGAGGAAATACTACTTTGTTCACTGAATCAGACCACTGTTCTCCTTCCCTTAGTATTGTCTCTGGTGAAAATAATAAAGGTTTAAAATAAGTACGATTTATGGATACCTATCCATAAAAAATATATACAAGCCAGGAATCTTTTATAATTTAATTCCCATTTAGATAACACTCCCTCTTCAGCTGGATTATTGAACAGTTTAGGATATGCTCTTTCTGTTTCAGTCATTAACTGGAACAGTACAGGAGAATTCTGCATTTTAAAGGTCATGCCATCCTACATTTTAAATGTGTTGAGAGTACAAGAATGCCCAAATTTGAATTACACTGAAATAAATGCTTCAAACCCTAGAACTGACTCCTAAAGCCTACTAGTAACACAGTTTGCCATCCCCCCCCAAACTAAAAAAAACAACCCAAGAGAGAGAGAAAAAGAGAACCAAAAGTAGTCCTAAAAGCTCTAATGTAATGGTAGTGAAAAGTAATCTAAGCTCCAGAAAAGACATTCTGGCATTTAGAAAGAAATGAAATCACATCAGACTTACCTGATGTAGAGGAGAGTACAGAGGACAGTGAGATGGAATAGGTCTGAATCCCTGCTCTTTTTATATGCTGCTTCACATTGCCTGTGGGGCTGAGGCACACTGTACCCATGAAGTCATAGTCACCAACCAGCCCAAATTTGAAGCACATATAACTAACTTTCCAAAGTGACGAAACTGTTTTCGCTTGCTGTTTGCAAAATCACCCTAAATCTCTGAATAGCATGATATGCACATTCCAGCTCCCAGGTCTCTTTCATCTTGAAGCCTAATTGACCAGCTTCATTGCTGGTATCATTCCACCCTGCTTACTGGCATTGCAGGATGAATTAAACTGGTTCTATTTACTTGGCACTTCCTTCATTACCTTCCTGTAATGATTTTAATCAGAGCTATAACCTGCTGTCATATACATGTTTGTATTTAAGTGCTTCAGATCTAGGCTGTAATCTGATCTACTCACACATTTTGCAACGAAATGTTCACTGAGGTAGGAGACACCTTTTGATCCTTTTCCCACCCACAGCCACAGAACTTGAGAGAGGTCTTCTACCTATGGTAATCACAGACATTGTCCTATGGTCTGTGGTTTAGAAATTCTGGCTTTTCCTTGCTCTTTGGCAAGGCCAGCAGAAAACAGCGTCTTTTAGTACATGAAATGATGTTTAAACCAAAAGTTGAAGTTTCCTCTGAAGGGTTACCAGTAGTTTTTCCTTATTTTACATCTGGATTCTTAAAGGCACACACAGATTATCTCATAGGTTCAGCAATGTAGAATGGATGTAAATGCAAACAGATTAATAATTACTAGCTTCTCTGTATTGATTGCACAGCTCTGAAGGAGGACAGAACACAAGAGAATGGTAAAGCAGGAGCAAATTTCTCAGTTTCTTTGTGAGATTACACATTTCTGTTCAGCATAGCATTCATTTAGTCTATATATTCTCTTTCTGTTTGTTTATATGATGGAGTGTAGTTTGGCCCTTATATCTAGTCCTTCATCTTAAAAAAGAATTCAGGGAATCATAACGTCATAGAATTGAGTAGGTTAGAATAGACTTAAGATCAACACCAACTGTTCCTCAGCACTGCCAAGGCCACCACTAAACCATATCACTGAGGGCCTCATCTACACAGTTTGTGAACACTTCCAGTGATGGTGATTCCACCATTGCCCTAGGCAGCCTGTTCTGATGCCTGAGCACCATTTCCATGATGGAATTGTTTGTAATCTACAGCCTAAACTTCCCCTGGTGCAGCTTGAGGTCATTTCCTTTTGTCTTATAGTTTGTTACTTGGGAGAAAAGACCAACCCCCACCTAACCACAACTTCCTTTAAGGCAGTTGTAGAGAGAGGTAAGGTCCTCCCTGAGCCTTCTCTTCTCCAGACTACAGCCCCACTCTTCTCCAGAACAACACCAGTTCCCTCAGCTGTTCCTCATAAGACTTCTTCTCTAGACCCTAAATTGAATCAAAGTTTCACTGGAGGATGTCACAGAAACATTTTTTTTAGTTCTTCCATTCCAAACTTACTGGGTATGTGTCAGGAAAAGCTATTGAATGATAAGGAATCCAACAATGGATCTCTCCTGACTTAGCAGGGCATTACCTACTAAGTGCATACTGTTGCAGAGCCCAATTTTCATTACCCAGTGACTTGTCACTTGAAATTACTTAGTCTTCCCCAACACTTAGTAGGGAGGGACAAGAATTTCTACAAGACAATTCATCCCATCTTGAATGCTGACTTTAGCAGAATCGGTATCTCTCTCAAGACATACCAATTCTGTTTTCATTGACTATGGAGACAGAAAAAAAGCTCATCTGAAACACCCAGCTTTTAAACAGGAAAGGTTTGATGAGGTGTGTCCTACCCATATTCCAGTACTCTGAATATAATAAATGTAATAAAAAAGGCCTGGCCCAGCCTCCGTAATCCTCGTTTGCTTATAGGTGGGTTGTTTGTTAATTAAGCACTGCAATATTTCTGCCAGAAGTTATACGTAAGTTATGAGACTTTGAGATGGCCCCAAGGGATTACAAGAAGAATAATCTTCATAAAGGGTGTTCAAATACTTTTTGTGTGTGTTTTTAAGCACTTACCAAACCCTCCTTAGTAGTTTACGCATCAAGTAGTTTGTGATTATTATAATACAACTATGCGGTTGGATTTAAACAGCCCAGCCTTTTGAAATACCTTTATTAAATTGTACTGGTTAAGCATACTCTTCCTGTTCTCTTTGCCAGATCATGATTTCTAACCTTAGGTTTTCAGCTGATTTTCTTTCATACTTCAGGTTTTCATTTATTTGTTCGTGTAGAAGCTCCTTCAGGGTTGATGTTGTACTAATTCACAGAACCTTCACTGTTTGTGGAACAAAGATCTGCAACACCTGCCTGTGTTCCCATGTTTTGAGAGCTTTTCCTAGGGTTTTCCTAGTCTAACTACAAGTGCTCTAGCACTCTTCATGCTCAGCTTCCTAAAAAAAATATATTTAACAAATTGCCTGTAATCTGGCAAAGAAACTCTTCACCTTTTTTGACCAAATATGAAGAAACTGAACAGCTGGGTTGTCTAGGGTACAATCTGGGTGATTTTAAAAAGTACTTTGCAAAGTGTCTTTTGATTCTTCCTCTGAAAAGTGCATGCTGGTCCTGTCCAAATCTGAATTCCAACTTCAGATGAAGATTGCTGATTTTGCAGGAAAAAACACCATGGTTCGTATCAATTATACTTTGTCTAGCATAGGTAAGGAAGAAAGAGAGAAAACCTGCATATTAAAGCAGATGGCAATTATGATTAACATTTGAGCCACCCTCATTATGTCGACCAATAGAAGAAGAGGTAAAAAACCAAAGCCAGCATAACTCCTCCTGTCATTCTAATGTATTTAATGGACCATTACCAGGAATGAATCTTGCCAATTAAGTGCTAAGATGAAAGAAATATTTGTTTTGTAATTTGCATTTTACGCATCATGAGAATTTGATTCAACTAATACATATAAATATTGAGCAAAACTGTTACATCACTGTGAGGTCAACCACCTGTGATAAATGTGGGCTGGGGTTAATGGGAGCCTCAGGTTCTCCAGACACTTTGAGGAAATGCATAAAAAGACCCTCCTCAAAACTGCCTTGATTTTTTTTCTATTGCATTCTTCTTCCCAGAGCCGGCTGTTTGCTAGATATCAGATTGTTCTTTTTCTGTAGATTGAGTTTGGTTCTCTTTTGTCATTTATGAGGAAGCAATATCATATTCAGGTTTTAAGGGCTAAGATCTCCACTAGCTCAAATCTGAGCTATAATCTGTTAAACAGATGCCAAAACTCTGCCTGTAGTCCTGCTCTTGTACTCCTGCACTATGAAGGCCTCAGCTGCAAATGTGTTTAACAGAGGATATGTCTTCTTGATACTTAATTGCTTGGTCTTCCAGCTGCTGTTTCAAATTCATTTGTATGGAAGAAAGCCGAATCTTGGAAGAGATGTAAGTAAAGCTTCCTACTCACAGAAAAAAGGCCATCTGGGGTGTTAGGGATCAGGTTAGCCTTTGGACAATTCATTCAACAATGTATTAAACCTCAGACCATGTGGAACTGCCTTTTATCACAGACAAGGTACAGGATAAAAACAACCATT